CAACAACAACAACAACAACAGTCTTATTCAATCGCTTCAACTTGTAGTAATAACAATAATACTAGTAATAATCCATTGGGTGTACCACTGGGCAGTAGTACACCATCGACGTCAGCATCGAACTTGTCTTCGGCATCAACATCGCGAGCCGCAGCTTCGAGTTGTTGTTTCTCGCAGTTGCAATCGACGTCTTCATTTGCGCCCTCGCATGCACTCTCTGCACAACAGCAGCAGGCACGTTCTCGAGTGCCCTACCCCACCGGTATGACTGCCGTATCACATTCACAAGATGCTGCCCTTCTACGGCACCAACAACAACAACAACAGCACCAAATGATGATGCAGCAGACATTAACGAACACCAGCAATCATCATTTACCACAACTACAGCCACAACAACCTTATATTTATCCATCTTGCATGGTTCATTGATTCGCTTCTTTATTGTTTAATCCTTTAATTTAATCCTTTAATAATTTAATCCAATACACTGCGTTTCCGCTTCTTATTCGTTTACAGTGCTTTTCAGAATGCATAGCATTCCTGATTCCTACTTTAGCATCTATTGTACATCACTGACTTTCACATTATTCGTTCCGTGCCTTCATTAGAAGATATTCTAAAAATTAATCCACTAANTACATCACTGACTTTCACATTATTCGTTCCGTGCCTTCATTAGAAGATATTCTAAAAATTAATCCACTAATCAAGTTTGGTATGAACGATTCATCGCTTTTAAAAAAAGGAAATAATGCCTCACGGTCAAACAAATGTTTTTGAAAATATCTTTGGACATCTATGGAAGAAACATGAGAAAAAAGTCAATCAACAATGATTTCTCTCTTGGCGTCGTCAAATTCTCTCATTTCTATTTTGACACCCTTAAATTCCCTCCATTACCCGTGAGTTCCAGCATGGTAGAGAGTACACTATAATTCAAGGAAATACTCAAGTTTACACCTCTAGAAAACGTCCTCACGTTGAATATTTTGGTGGCAGACTTGTTTGATGCTCTGCAATATGAAATGATATTAATTGTTCAGAATGGCACCAGTAATATGCAACAACAACAACAGATGGGCGAATCAAATGCTTTATTGCAAATGCGACAAAGTGTCGATGAGCTGTCCACAAATATAGAAAAGAGGAGTCGATTCGCTCTAAGATTTGCACCATGCGCCAGTGACTACAGTAATATGGATGCGAATAGTGGTAATATGACAATTAAAACTGAAATATTCTCCGAGCAGCAGCAACAACAACAACAACAGTCATTCATTGCAAACAATCGAATGGTTTCATATCCAACGAATTTAAACAGTGAGGAATTTACGAGCATTCATAATTTCTATTTTTTGTTATATTGATGTGTTAACAGAAAATTGATAGCGAGAGGATTTCTTTAATGAATAGCTAATATTTATAGGATGTTGATGAGACCAAAAAGTAGTAAACTTGATTGCTTGATAATCAATAGATATAATAGGATAGTAATTCTTAAATCGTGTTTAGCGACTCGTCCCATGCATCCACAACAAATTTCACCTATGTCACAACCTCAGCAACTGTTTAATCCGTATCATCAAGCAACTCGTCAACGATCGACCCTTGACAAGTTAGTAATTTAGCGATTGAGTTGCAGTTTTTGTTTCATTCAGTGTTTTATTATTTTTATTTATGAATCTGAAATGTATTTCTTGTTCGCACAATATTCTATTTACATTTTCGCATAATTTCAAGTAGGCTCACATGAATTTCCGTTCTGAATTAAACAATTAATGATCTTCAATTGCCAAACTTCTTCATCGAAGTATGAAACACAACCAGTATTGAATATCAGTAAACAATTAACCCAATAACCCAATACAATTGCAGTACCTCAACGCCTGAATACTCGTATCAAATGCGAATGAATC